TCATTCACATTAAAAGACACATAGTTGTATCTGAAAGATAGTAGTTACAGCAGCCTTGATTACTGTAATATCTGTCTTTACATGGAGGATAATGTCCAAGAAAAGTTCTTTCCTTTGAATTGGTTATCCTTTATCTGAAAGGGTGGTGAATTCTGAAGTGGACTCTGCTTTTATTGCTCTGTATCATTACTTGTTGCTTTCTAGCGGATGGATCATACCCGAGATAGAACGTTTCAGGTGTAGTCGTTTTTCTTTTGAGACGGTTTAGATTTACCAGTTTCCAGAGATAAAAGTGATTAACTGGACTATAATATTTGGAGATAAACTTATAGCATATTTGTTTCTGAAAGCCACTACCCTTTAATCTATACTATTTACTTAAAAACTAGGAACTTGCTGGTGTTTTACCTATCCGCTAGAATTAAATGTGATCTTATCCGCTACGAACGCTTTTTAAGATTAAGATTGGAGAGGATAACTTGAAGAGTCATCATGCACCGAACTATTCTTGGATTGTGAATGAATTTTCGTAATCCGTTTATTGGAGGCCCGTTTAGACTGTGAAAAGAATGAGTTGTACGTAGAGGGAAAGATCCAAGAAGGTAAAATAGGAGAAAGATGGTAAGCGTAAGCCTTTTATATACGTGGTACAAGGTAAACGTTACTAACTCAATTAGAAAATATTTCTTCTAATTAATGTCTACATGTTCGTTATACTCGATGAATTTGCATAGCTACTTTAAGACACCAGAGAGAGATAACACGGTTGCGATTAGGATGAGGAGAATTTGAAAGAAATCGGTTTTGTGTAGCGTAGTGAGATATTGTATATATTTTTTTCTACTTTGTGACTGAACTCAAACTTAGTAAGTTTTAGCGCATTGACTTGGAAAATAAGAAACGAAGACTAAACCTATCTATAGTAGAATAAGAATAACATGATGTTATTCTCGAGTAAGAACCAATGTGAAATTGAAGGTTACTAATTTCGTGTTTTTGAATGTCTAGTATCGATGAAATCATGGAGGATAGAAGGACCAATGATAACTCTGAAAAGTGAATATAAGAGGTCGAAGGCTGAGATGATATGCCCATCGGAGAAACATATGGTGGCAGTAGTGTTTGTAAGCTTCTAAGATCCGACATGGACTTGTGGGAATTTCACAATTGGGCATATTCGTTGTGCATCTAACTCAACTGGGGGGAGGGGGAAGTGGAGAAGGTAATGATATGATTGAAGTGGATATAAGATGGGTTTTCTTTGGTTAAT